TTTAGTAGTAATCACATTTTGCAATTTTTAGCCATGACAGACTGCTTTAACTGCAACAGATAAAGTTGCATAAGGAAATTAGTAGTCATAGACTTGATGCAGCTACAACATATTAGAATTTTATTTAATTTTTAATTAATGATTAACCAACATCATTGTATAATTAGGAAAATGAACTATGTAGATTCACTTTTTCATTATTTGGGTGAAGAGAGATTCTAATTTTAAAGGAGAAATTCCTAGAGGCATTTGTAATTATGGATTAATTCTATAAATTGTGATTACAACTCAGTATTCCGATTTGCTTCCATTTTAGTCATAATGACCAACTTTGCAAGTGCATAGATATTTGTTTGTTGAAATCTGTGTGAGAACAAGCTCTTTCGTTGTGTGTACTTGTGCAGTATTTGGAAGGGTTTGCCAGTTGATGGGAATAGTTGTTGCAGTTGCCTGTACTGCTGACAAATGCAAAGTGTAACCAATGCTTTAATCTACATTATTTTTTTTCCTGTGACTTAAAACATGTACTTTTGTAGACTCCAAAACAAAATTTCAAGTTAATTTTATCTGTCAGAGATTCTGTAAGAGCTTAGTCTGTGTATGTACAGGTAACCCCCGTATAACACGGCACTTCTATAGCACGGATTCGCTCTAACACGATTCGAGAATTGGTACCATCCCCCGTATAACACAGTACTTTTATAGCACGGATTCACTCTGACACGGTTTGAGAATTGGGTAAAACCCTCGTACAACAGGAAATGTAATAAATTTTTACATACTTAACTAATAATAGTTCACGAAAATTATTATTTTCGTGAACTATTAGTACTTAAGTATGTAAATTTTCTCTTCTCGCCTTCTGTCGATACAGGTGGTCCTTCTTGAAACTTGTTTCAATGTTGCCAGATCGCGACGCTTCTGCTTCTGATGTTGCCGAATGTTTTTCCCTTATTCCATACTTGCTTTATTCTTCATAAGTGCTTAGCACCATATAAGGAAATTTATAAAGACTTTTTAACTAGAAGCAAGCAATCTAAAATTACATACATTTTGCAAAAGGTAAAGCATGGATCTGAAGATAATGCAGAAAAATGCTCAGAGGATAAGGATAACTTGCCAAAAAGAAAACGCTCTCGGTTAATTAATAGTGTTTTTAGTGATGACGAAGAAAATATTGTTTAATTTATATTAATATGTATCACTTAAAAAAATTTTAATGAAGATATTTATCTTAATTATGAAAATATACTAGCATGTTTTTTAATTTTTGGAACCTAACCCTCCTTTTCGTATTAGTTCTTTGTTTCGTATAACACGGATTCGCATAACACGGCAATTTTTTGGAACGTAACTACCGTGTTATACGGGGGTTACCTGTATTTGAAGAAATATGTAAAAATGTGAACTCAAAAGATTGACTGTTCAAATATTAAAACTTTTTGTAAGGTAAGAAATTTTTTAATTTTAGAAGTAAAATTTTTAAGAAGAGGAGTTAAATTTGATTTTTTTTACTTCTCACTAAAACTTGTCATAAATTTTCATAAATCAAATGTCCATGTTCATCCCTCAATAAATGTCAAATATTCAATGATCAATATTAAAAAAATGTATTGATTGCCTTTTTCCTATGACAGTAGACAGCCTTTTGATATGATATATATACTGTGATTTGATTTTTATCAATTATTATACAAGGTGCAGTATAATGAAATTTACAATGAAACCAAATCTTACTTGTAAAGTTTTTAAAATTATCTACTCTTAAGTGGATTTAACTTTTTTATTTTTTCAATTTCAGGTTCGATCTGATACTGTTGATCTAACCGACCAATCACTTATTGTTGATATATCTGATGCATTAAGTGAAAGAGATAAAGTTAAATTTACTGTCCATACAAAGGTAAGAGATTTAAAACATCTTTCTTTTTTTAAATATTAAATGTGTGCTTTTATATTAAAATATTATTTTTATTTGGATTATCTTTGAAAGTCATTTTATTTTTTATGTTCATGGATTTGTTAAGCATAATTGATATACTTTTTAGTGGTTTTTTAAACTATTTTTTGTGAAATACAGTAAATCTCTGAAGTTTACTAATAACTTAAACTTGTGTTCAAAATATTCAGTCGTCATTTAAATATTTGCTGTGCAAACAACTATCAAATTTTCAATATTGAATGATAAATTTAGTTGATAGTTTCATCTATATGATCATACTTCATAAATTAATTATAACAAAATATTATACATATATATAAATCTTAAAGCGCATGCGTAGATGAAGTTTTTTGAAATTTCAATATTTAGAAGAAATGTAATTTTTAGATTAATGTAAAATGTATAATCAATACAGAAATAAATAAATAAATATAAATAAATAAATATGACAAATTTAGTCTAATCATTTAAGTAGCCATATATTAGCCCGATATTTAGGCGATCGTTTGGCAANTATAGAAGAAGTCAGTACAGAGTTCTGGCGAGTAAATAAGAACGACGTCGAACTCTAAGGCGAGTTTAGGTAGTGCATGTAGTATGTGCGATGTTGCCCGTTGTCATGACAACAGGCTTCTCCTGTTGCTCGATGAGGTTTCAAGGCCGGTCCTGATACACCATGTCCCAGACTATTTTTCCAACTTACTCAATAGTACATGGTATATAGAATAGAATAACTTATATATACATAAATATATATATATATATACACATATACATATATATATATATATATACAAAAAATGGAACAAAAAATTGCGTTTAAAAGATAAAATGCGAGCTCCAACGGTCCAAATGTTAACGCCGGAATTATATATTTATATGGATTTGTAGTATTGCACGATCAAAGCGTGTGCAATGGTGGTGAGTTTCTCGTCCCGCGAGGAATAAACTTGTACGGACCAGCATGTAACAACTTTGTTAAACGTTCGTGTCATCCAAAGTCAATTCAAAGGAATATTGATGGTAATCAAAAGATGGAATTCACGATTTATTTCCACTAATTTGTAAGGGGGTAAAAGTAGGACTTACACGCGGAAGGAGATATCCTAGCTGACTGATAGTTATCAAATCCAAATTTATACTTAGAGTATTAATAAGGCAAAATCACAAAAATGCATACTCTTATATGGTCTTACCCTAATGTATATTATGTATGTATATAAAATATATATATATACTGTATAGCCTACATATATTATATATATAGCCTATATATATATTATATACATATATATATATCTGTCCTATTTTTTAATTAATTTTCTTAATAGCTATTTTTGAATTTGCTATGAATTTGAAAATACCAATTGTAAATCAAAAATTTAATATCAAGTACAATTTGGAAAAGACAAGAATACTTAGAGATAAAACCAACTGATGAAGAGTAATAGGTCCAAAATTGTATATTTTAATTTAATAAAATAACTTTTCTGTTAAACTGTGATAGAAGTCCTTCAAATTCATAGCAAATTCAAAAATAGCTATTAAGAAGATTAAGATGTTATAGAATATTAAAATATTAATCTGGCAGATCATTCATATTACCAAATGATCTGCCAGATTATCTGTTAGGCTATATTAAGGCTAATAACTAATTAGATAAAAATCAATTTCCTGTATTTAAAACTCTAATTACTAAATTTATCAAGAGATGACAGCATAACTCTATCTCCAAATTGATTCCATCTAATTAGTTATTAGCTTTACTATATCCCAATAGATAACCTGGCATATTGTTTAGACAAATTTTTATTAATGAAAATTTATTCAAAAAAATTATTGTATTTTGCATTTAACGTGTCCAGTGTTGTTTCAGAGTATTTTCGTGTTGACCTCATTTGACCTGACCTGTTGACCCCAAACATACTCATTTTCTGTCTGCATCGGAATGTTTTTGATACTAGATGTCGCTATTCGTCATAATTTTTATATTAAAATGAACTTTCAAAATATAATTTTTTAAAATATATTTTTCAATACATTTTGTTTGTGCATAATAAAAATAAAAAATTTTAACGATACAGTAACCACGATTATTATTAAAAGTTTTTTTCATTAGGCTTAACATCGACAAAAATTCAACATGACGGCCACATGCAATAGAGAGAAATTTCAACATGGGATAGGGTAAAGAAGTCTGTATAATCTGTATAAACTCTCTAATAATGAACTTAGACCCCTTGGATAAAATAGTCCAATTTGTGCTTCACTGTCCTGTAGATACAAGCCATTACAATTCAGTTCTCCATGACATTCTTGTAAAGACATTAGGGTATCACACATTTGTGACCAACCTCCCCTCAACAGAAAAAGAACTCCCATTTCAACTTGAATGTCAAAGTGAAGGGACCACCACACATGCAAACAAAGCCATACTCTATTCTCTCCTCTAAACATTAAAGGTTTATAGGGGTATATGGACTTCTAATAATCTAGTTCTTAACTGAAAGTAAAGTTGAAAAAGCAGACAAGCATAATAAGCGAGTTTACAAATTGTTGACATTGCCTTGCAAATTGGATTTAAAAGCCAATACTGATGAGTAAAATGCATATACAACAGCTTATATGGACTAAATAAAATAGTATGAACTGTAGCATTGATATGTGGTATTCTGTTGTGTTTTTGGATTAGGATTTTCCCATCAGATCAATGTAAGTTACATTAGGTATAAAAAAAAAAAAAAAAAAGAGGGGGACAGGCAAGGCCTATAACTTGATGCAAACAGTAATGCATATATTTAGATACAAAATACATATGTTCCTTTTTGTAAATTTATAAAATATTACCTTGTAAAAGCTAAGTCAATAAAATTTTATTAAATAACTAACTGAAAATTATCATTTTTTAAATCTTAATTTTCAAATTTGGCTTAAATACTTATTTTTGAAACTGAATTATTAAATTTAAAAATATAAGTATTTTTTGAACCCAAGCAAGTATACAATTATTAAATTTTTTTCATTGAAAAATTTCCAATGAATTAATTGTAACAGTTGATTTTTTTAAAATAATTTAGATACCTCCTGCCCCACCAAGACCTGATTTTGATGCATCAAGAGAGAAACTTCAAAAACTTGGAGAAGGGGAAGGAAATATGACTAAAGAAGAATTTAGTAAAATGAAACAAGAATTGGAAGCGTGAGTAGTAATTTGTAATTTTTAGTTAGTTTTTTTTTTCTTTATACTACCTAATGTTACTACACAAATAAATAATTTTATGCAATTTTTGTTTTAAATAATACCACAATGTATTCAAGGAGGTGGAAAAACTGGATAGACCCAAATAAACCAATAAACTAAACCTTGGTAAATCCAGCTACAAATTTATTGAAATAATGTTTTCAATCAGATTTCACTGATCTTCAGTTACAAGTGTTTTGAATTCTTAATTACAATGTATTTCACATTAATTCCATACTTTTTTATTTTCAAGAGAGTATTTGGCTACTTTCAAGAAAACAGTTGCAATGCATGAAGTATTTCTTCAAAGATTAGCTATTCATCCAATGTTCCGACATGACCATAATTTTAAAGTATTTCTTGAATATGATCAAGATGTAAGTATATGAATATTAGAAAAAAAAATTGCTAGATATTTTAGTTTGGAATTGTATGTGAAGTCTCTAGTTTTTTAGATTCATGGAGTCTTTAGTATTGGTTAAAAAACATAATAATGATGTTAATAAATTACATATTATACATTACTAACAATTTATAAATTACTAAAATAAGCAACTTATTACTTTTATCTTTTTATTTGTAACTGAAAATACCATTTTAGTTGTGTGTTCGTGGAAAGAACAAAAAAGAAAAATTAGCTGGACTCTTTAGCAATATTAGCAAATCAGCAGATGATCTGTTGTTGTCCAATACACAAAAAGTAAGTATACATTATTTGTAAAGAATAAATCAAAAATAATTTCTAGTAACCAATGCAAAATACACTGACTCTTTGTTACATGTGTTACAGATTTACATACATTCTTAGCATTTTGTATTTGTACACAGGATTCAAATTGTTAGTTTTGTGAATTTGTTGATGCAGTTAAGAACTTAAAACTTTCTGTAAAATTGCAAAAAACAAACTGGATACAAAAGTATAGATCTGTAGTAATCATATGTTTAAAATACTAAGGAATGTCTTGACACTAGGTTGAAGATTAAGTTATAAAACCATCTTAGTAAAAAGTTTGAATTTAATTTTTCAGTGCTTTAATGAAATTCTATGGATAGATGGATAATAATAATTCAACGTTTGCTAGATGATGCTGTCATCATCTAGCAAACATTGAATTATTTGAAGTAAAACTGAATCATAAATATTTTGATTTGACATTATTATAGAGCAAATAAACAAGTTTTTAGCAAAGACATTTTGGAACAGTAATCAAATCTAGAGTAAAAATCATGCTTCTCTTGTATGCTAAAATGATTGTATGCACATACTACTTAGCTAAGTTAGCTTTATATTGTATTTTCCAAGAGAATATAATACTTTAATAATTAATGCAAAATTTTTAATAGCTTTCCAAATTTTATTATTAACAATATGAATTGATAAAATAAATGTTACAATCAAGTTATTTGTTGAATTTTTTTAACAAATTCAAATTATTTATTACTGGCAAAATTATCTATTTTGCTTTATAGCTCAGTTAAACTTCTCAATTATGTTATGAATGTTTTTGTCATGCTTGGTTTCAAAAGAATTGGTAGCGGGAAAATCATTTTCTGCAATCATCCTGGTATTTGATGTGAATATTTCATCACTGCATAATGTACCATTGTTCTTCCTATTTTATTCTTATGCCTATTTGTATGTGTAACATTTATCATTTTCCCATGACATTATTATTGATTTCTGTTTACTGTTGTAATTTTGTACAGATAACAAAGCATGTAACAAAGTTTGAATATTCTATAGTAATTAAATGCTAGTTTGTATGGGCTATATTTTCACTAATTATTATTATTATTTATTATTCCTAAAGATAGACAGTGTAATTTCTCTATTATACTAATCTTAATACAGTAGAAACTGAATTTAATGTTTACACATTTAATGTATTTTTGCATTTAACACACTTTTTTCATTTGTCCCTTCAAATCTTCATAAACAACAATGTAAATGTTACTGCATTTAACTCCCTGGACACCCTGAGGCTATTTATTAGTGAAGAAGCACAAGCCAGGCCAGCAATTCTGCCCTTTCATAAAGCAAGATCCCCAATGTTCTTTATGAAGAGAATCCATTACCTCAAAGGGTAACCTATATAATAACCAACCCATTAGCTTAATGTCATGCAGTTTGAAGATAACTGGTAGAGAACACACTACTGTACTTGATTTTGAATTCATGTTTTTGCCTATTTGTCTTGATCCCTATTTTTGTGCATTACAAATTTTGGAGCTTAAACACTTGTCAAAGGAGAAAAGGAAGTATAGCACAAGTGAGTTTTACATCCAAAAATGAGGTACTCGTAGGTAGCCCTCTCTTTGGTGATTTAAGTGAGTTGGTTTTCTGATTTTTGAAGCAGCATACCTTGAAGAGATTTTTACTGGACATATTATTATACACTAGATACAGTAAGACCTCTGCTTAACACTGCCTCGCTTAACACTGATTTGATATAACAGTCTGCTCGAAGCCTGAAAAAAAAAGCTCAAAATTTACGCTCCATTTAAATTATTGTGGCATTTTATTGATTCATACAATATTCATACATATTGATTCATACATTCATTTATGAACATGAACCAATCAGAAAAAGGTGGCAAAAAGGTGTACTTTCTTTAAATCTGTTTGTTTGGTGCAATAATGGTTCAATAATGGTTCTGAAGTTTTTCTCCAGCCTACCAAATGGTTCTTTGGAAAGTTTAGATCTTACCTTAATCTGTTTAACTATACTTTAATGGAAACTGATTTGTGCAGTATTTAATACTAAGAAAATGTTTCGTTGAATGAAAATTATTTGGACTTGGTGGATTAGGGTTCTAAAATAGAATATTATTTTATTCATTTCAATAATACTTTAATGTAATTTTAATAGTATTCTAGAAAAGTTATTAATGTAAGAGTGCAATAATGCTGCTTTTGTTTATCTTAATGTAAGTTTTTATATACAGTGGGTGATTGGTTAACAAACAGTTCGGATAGCATACAAATCAGATAACAAACACATTTGCGAAAGATTTTTATGATTGGACAATGAACACATGTTTGGATAATGAACACATGTTTGGATAACGAACACTTTACTGAACAAACATAAAAAGAAGCAATGGAAAATAACGAATACCGACTGATTTTTTCCCTTGTCTTCAGGTAACAGTTTGAAACCTTTCGGAACATGGTAGTTGTCAACATCAACGCTCAACCCAATAGAGATAGGATAGTATTCCTCTGAATGTTGAAACTCTCCCTTGTAATTCTAGCTTTTTGTTTACCTTTCTGACAAATAATTTTTTATAGTATTTGTGAGACTGTCTGACAGGCACTTGTTAAGTTTTGCGTCGGGGTTTATTTACAAAAGGTGAAAGTTTAACTGTCCGATCGAATATTTGTTAACGTTTTAATACCAAATTTCGAATTTCATCTGAGCCTTGCATTTAAATAATTTTGTGGGCTATTGATTTCTGTTCTCTGAATTTTTGTAAGTGCTTTTCTGAATTTTTTATTTAAAAAAGAAACTGATAATATTATGGAGCCTAAAAAGAGGAGTGCCAAGACTGTGCTCACCATAGAAACCAAGAGATAATAGCCAAGGTAGAAAGTGGGCACAAGATGTCTGCTATTGCTAGGCACTATAGCTTGAACAGGTCTACAGTAGGCACAATCTTAGCTATGAAAGATATATCAAGAAGTCTCAAGCTGCTAATGGAGTAATGAAAATCATATCTGAGAAATAAAGAGCATTTTAGAGCTCATAATGGAAACTGATCTGACAACAGAACAACTCTCAAGTGAAGAATACCAAGAAACTCAGAGATGTGTTTCAGATAGATGTGTTTTCTTTTGAAAAAGAGGAAGATTAAAGAGGACCAATGTCGACATCTGCTACTAAAGATCTTTTGAAGAAGTGGGAGGATGTCGGAACAATGATCATCCAAGTGGCATCCAAACCAAAATAAGGTTAATGGGGTTGGGGATCTCTACAATTACAATACTATTAATTACTTCCAAAAAGTCCTGAAGAAAAGAGAAAAGCAATCGACATTGGACAGATTCTTTGACCCCCACAAACAGGAAAAAACAAGACTAATAAAAATGCACGACTGCGTATATACATATTTTTACTGTTACATATACACTTTTTTACTATGTTTATTTATATATTTTTTTATTTTTTGGAGTCTGCAGTACGAATTAATCAAATTTCCATAAAAACCTTGTTCGTTAACCAATTATCGATTTAACAATTCAGATAACGAACAGTCTTGGAACGGATTATGTTCGTTAACAGAACACCCACTGTAATTTTATTAAATATTCTTAACTATTATTATCCGTTATTGAGTGAATTAACTATAATTAAGTTTATATAAATTTTATGATATTTAATTTATTAACTTATTATTTTTAAAAACTAGGATGTTGATGATTTCTTTGAACATGAAAGGAATTTTCTGATTGAATATTACAATCATATTAGAGATGCTACTATGAAATCTGATAAAATGACGAGAAACCATAAAAGTAAGATAAGTTAATAAAAATGTTAAATTTCAGTATCATTTAATACGTATGATTTATTCAGTTTAAATTTAAATGATTTATTTTAACATACAGAAAAAATTGACTAGTACTAAATTTTTGTATACAGATTTTCACACTGCTTGTCAAAATTTGTTATTTCAAAAAAAAATATTATTCTTACAAAAATATTATATCAGTTCGAATATTTAAAATATGGAAATAACTTTTAAAGAAATGATAAATTTTATAGATTTATTATATTATTCCTAACAAATTCAGACTATAAAATGGTGATTTCTGTAAATAATTGCCTTATATACAATAGCCTATAGCTTGAAGTTGACTACTTTAAAGCTACAGGTAGCAGCATTTGCACATCAAAAAGTATCTTCTAAATCCCTAATCTGGGTGAGATTGTATATTTTGTAGTCTTCACACACACACACTGTCTTTTAGATTAAAAAAATATGAAAAATATTCAGTAAATGGAATTTTCAGTTTAAAATTAATATTGTATCCTGCATGTTCATACATTATCATTATTGAAAATAGTATGGATTAATTCCTCAAAGGGTATGGTATATCTTTAAGCTATTGTAATTTCCATAAATTTCAGTATCTTTTTGTAACTATACCATCAAAGAATTAGGGAGCTGCTTTTTGAAAATGTGCAGACCCTACCTATTCATTCATTTTGAATATAATTTCTTGTCACATTATCTTTCACACTGGGCAAGTAATTATCAATTGAATTATTTTATATTGCTTATATATATAAAAGATAGAATGTTCCAGTTGATACTATATTTTGTCTAAAGGTCTAGCATAAACTTTTACTTAATATTACTAACATTTTTCAATTAGCTACAAATATCTCCAACTTTTCTATGTCAGATTGCCAACAAAAAGAAATTACCTTAGTAAAAGTGCAAATCTAATAGTTTAGAAAATGTTAAAATTTTTCTTTAAAATACTTAGAGAAAATCTGACTGTTGTTAGTAAGAAGCTTTTTATCTCTTCAGGAAAGTGAAGTAATGGCAGAAATATTGACATAAGAAGATTGAGTTTTTTGTTTTAGCAAAAATTTTTTTATTTATTATTCAAATAAATATGAATTTCAAGAGATTTAAAGTGTTTGAGCTGTGAACAAAATTATAAATTTTTAAATTCAGTAGTTGGAAAAAGGAATGATGGTGATATTGACATCAATTCGGTCAATCTTATGAGCACTTCATCCAACATATTAAGCTTATTATTGTTATACACTCACGTCCACATGTATACATAAAACTTAGTACTCTGTTTTAAATTCAATAATTTATTTTAAACCAAATGATTGCAGTAATTAATCAGGCTATTATTAAATTAATAGCCTGAGTAATTACTGCAATTGTTTGTTTTAGTATCAGTGCATTGGACTTTGGGATGTTTATTATATATTTAAAACTGAGTAAAATTATTTTTATATCATATGTATAATATGAAAAGTTGATGTGAAAGTTTTTATAATAAGGGAATAAGATCACAATTTGGAAAAACTATTTCAATATACTAGATTTAATATAATGTACATTGTTTCACTTCTGTGTGATTGAGACAGATAATTTTGATTGTGATAGTTATTTCCTGGATCACCAAAGAGAGGAATAACAAGACAATGATAACCAATAGGAATTAATCAGTTCAGAAAAATTGTAAAATTAGATCAAATAACTTTTTTATAAAAATTAAGTAAATATCAGTGTTCTCAAGAGCTTGACAAAAATAAGCTCTTTGCACAGTAAATTACACCACTGGATGCCAGAAGACTGTTTTTGTTTGATAAATTGTTCCTACAAACAAAGTTAAAGTAACTCTAACTTATATTTTGTTCAGTTATAGGGTAAAATTAGATACTTAAACCTAATTAAATAGTAAATTACAATTTTGATTGACAGCAAATCATGTGTGTTTTGGCTCATTTATGTGGTCCTTGGATGATGTACTTGGTTCAATTCTGGAGTAATGCAAAGGGTGTACACAATATTTTAGACTTTTGTTTTCCATTGTGAGCCTTTTTTCATTCATTTCATGTTTTGAAAGTTTTCTATTTGAACCTATCCATATCAGTAAATCAGGCCAATGTAGTTTTATGTAATATTGAATGAAAATATATGTAAAATTTATTTAATATATGTAGAATTGTTAAAATAATTTTAAACTGCTTGTTTTCAGATGTAGCTGATAGTTATATCAAGATATCATTTTCACTTGTACAGTTAGCAACCATTGATGGATCAGAACTTGAAAAGTAATTATTTTTATAATTTATTATTATATATGAATTAATATCTACCATAGAAATCAGTACATCTGTAAATTTGTATCTAGTACACTCTATAAATTTCTATAACAGAGTATGAATCACACTTTATAAATCATAGTAAATATACTAGAAAATCCATATTGATTTGAAAAGTGAGATTTTAGAAATTTAACTCTTGTTTTTATTTTTTAAGATTTTATATGAAACAATTTTCAGTTATACTTTGTAGAATGCTTACTCTTTAGCTTCAATACTAAATCTTAATATCATGGACCAAATATGGTTTGGTTAATTTTTCTTCTTGTGCTGCCATCATAACATTACTTTAAGTGAAATATTTCATCTTTGTTCTTAATTTACAGGCTGGTTTACACAATAACACTGTTGCCAACATAAGTAATGAAATGTTACCAGTAATATCCAGCAGATAATATACTTTATGAAATAACAACAAAAACAAATGTTTTCCACGATTTTAAAATTATTGTGTTAAAAACAGTCTTGTGTGTGTGTGTGCATACGTACATACATATGACTCCATTTATATATGAAATTTGAATGTCATCTGAAAGAAAATGGAAACTTTTATTGGTGAAAAGTGCTGACATCATCAATGACATATCCATATATTTTTTTAAAAGACAAGACTTAAAGGTCCATCTTTGAAGTGCACCTATAATTTTAATTTTTGTCTTTTTTAAAAATGTCAACAATGACAGATGTGAGCTTTCCACCAATGAAATAATTATTCCATTTTGTTTAAATTGACATCCAAATTTTCACGTTTACGTAGTATGTTTGAATTTTTTTTTTACATGACAAATCAATTTTTAAATTGTCAAACATTTTGTTTTATTATTTAATAAAGTATATTATTTGCTGGATATTACTGGTATCATTTCATTATTCACACTTAATTCCAGTTTTCAAATATTGCACAATTATTGTTGTTGCCAACATTTTTTCCTCCAAATCATGCTGATGAGATTTGTTAAATTGTGATGTTTACATGATGTGGTAGAATAAAACTTGCATGTGCGACAGCTTTAGTTTCTCTCAAATATGAGAATGCAGTCCAACATTATGATTTGTATTTTATCAATTGGTTTGACAATGCAATAAATGAAAAATCTGACAGCTTAGATTTCTGTGACAGTTTTTGCACCTTATTAGTGACTTTGACCACTAATAAGGTGCAATTTGGTCAAATGAGACAAATTCTTGCCTATTGTAGTTCTGAGCAACAAAATGTTGGTGGTAGTTTCATGTAAACTAGTCTTTAAGACTGATTTCTTATGCTAATAACTAGAAATCATTCCTAAATAAGAATTTACTTTGTTCAGCATCATCTAGGTTCTTAGCTATTTTCCTCTATTTTTAAATGAATTTTTAACTAGTCATATTTAACTTTTTAACCATTTATATTTTTTAGATTTTTCAGTAAAGTTTCTGAAACTTTTGAAAAAGCAAGGGTAAGAAGCTTGTAAATTTTAACTTCTTAAAAAATTTTATTATATTCTGATAATCTAAACTTTTTCAGAAATTGGAAGGAAGAGTTGCCTCTGACGAGGATCTTAAACTATCAGATACATTAAGATATTATATGAGGGATACAGCTGCTGCTAAAGTAATTTCATATTCATAAATTTGAATATTAAGAGTTGAATTAAGGCAATTTTATATGACTGAAAATATTTTCTACAATTGTTTTATTTAAAATATATTTTATCCACTTCAAATTAGTACTGTACATCATACTTTTCCATTAGATAGATGACCACCATGACTCCATTGCTAATGCCTTTCAGGGGAAAATTTTTGAATTAAAATAATATGACTTCCAGTTATCATTGGAAGTTCACATATAGTTAATTGGGGCCTCCTGATGCCACTAAGCTTTCCATATCTGGTCTTGAATTTCATTTATCTAACACTGTTCTCAAGATTAAGGAAAGACAGACAAAAGTAGGAATTTATAGGTCTACAGTTTTTTTCAAATTGCAGCCCAATAAACTGTTGTAATGCTGTGAATGTGCATTTTGAGATATATATTTCACAAAAGTAAATTATTTACAGGATTAAAGAATTAGCTTAAATTTTCAGCCTTAAATCTTCAATTACAAAAAAATACATGCATAAACTTATGCACATACTGTTTCCCAAATAGTACATTAAGTAAATTCCAAAACAATCATTTTTAAAATATGATAAAATTTAGAGAAAATTAGATTTCACACTTTAAGGTTAATTTAGTGATATAACATAACCATTTTTGATTTTATAAAATTTAGTAGTTAAAACAATCATTATCTGTAAATATAATTTCAAGCTGTTATTTTAACAAATGTTTTCTACATTTTTGGGGGATTCTCATTCTGGTTTTTTTAAATCTAAAATTCAATTTGTTAAATATTTTTTAATTTGCAATTCTTCCTAAATAGACTATATGTGTACATACATACATATATATATATATACATACACACACACAATTGGACTTATTTTTGTTAATGTTGGACTTGGCAAAATTAGATTTGAACTTAGATAGTTGCTAAAAGAAGTAATGAAGACAAACAATACAGTTCAAATGGTATCTAATAATAATTGTCAAAAATTAGAATAATAAATTTTTATCTTTTTATTGGAGATGTCTTATGGCTCATCCTCAAGTAAGAAAATTTTTCAGTAGAAACCTTTACTTTTATAGTTTTATTGGAAACAAGAAGTTAGTCAAACTATTATTACAAGAAATAAAGAATATTCTAAAATGTTTTATAGTAATCTTAATTAATAAAGATGTTCTTAAACTTCTGTATGTATTATAAAATTTTAAGCTTAAATTCTTTAACTTAATTCTTTTTATCTTTAAAATAAATTTAACTTTTTTTTATTGTATTGGCTATCAAAAACTTCTTGCTCAGTCCTGTTCATACTAAGTTAAAAACATTACAATGTAACATTTACTAAATTTTTCTCTTATATGAAAATAGCCATGAATACTTATGAATGATGTATAAAAGTGTGAAGACTTCCTAATAGTTGAATGTGCAAATTACTTAATTTTGAAATTGTTAAGGGTATAATGTGGTTGATTTTTGAATTGGGGCATTTCACGTAAGTTTATTTTCAAAATGTAAGAAATTCTATAAATAAGTGTAGAATACACATTACAAACTTGATTAGAGGTAATTTTTTGTTAAATTTATCCTATATAAGTTAAATTTTAAGTTGAGCAAATAACTCTGTAACAAAGACAATTTTTCAGAAATGTATATGGAGAACATGAAGTGCGTGTAATTTACAGGAATACCATAAAGTTGGAAAGTTGTAGGCTTTGATATTGAAAAAATCAAAGGTATTTAGTTAAATTTAATTGAGGCAGAGTGTTAGCAAAGCCTCTTTTATGTGGCTTACAGAATTGTGTTTGTTCTCAGTCTGTTTGATTTTGATAAAACTTTTTGCCATTTTCCATTAGTTGTGATGAGGAATCCGAAAAATGTAATCAGGGTTAACTTAAATGTAAAATATAGGGCTCCACAACTTTGCCACTTTAATCCTTCTGTATAATGAAAACAATGTCTGTGCTCTCCAATTCAACTGAGTGCACCTAACAAAATTTAAGCCTAGGGTTAAAAATAAAAGCAGCATTGTGTGCACATAATGCAAAATAAGTACAAAAATGAACAAAACACAAGGACAAAGCAATCACCATTGATTGTTCTTAGATTGCCTCTGTCAGCAAGTGCAACGATTGGCACTTGGCCAATGGAAGGTTTGCCTCTCCCATGGCTGGCAGGTACAAAGTTCATGTGTGTGCATCTGTCAGGTACAAGGATCGCTTCTTTGCCTAAAGGAATGATCACTGCCCTTGTTGTTTCCAGCTTCGCCTCAATTCTGTTGCAATACAACAGTCATGCAATTACACATACATAGTTTATACATAATAGCTTAAAAATTTCCTATTTTGAACTATGGTACAAAGAACTGTATATGGCTTCTAATATATTATAAAAACAAATATAAATTATAGGAAGCATTGTTTAGTGTTATACCTAAGGGAATTAATTTGTTTGACAATTTTTTTTACTTTGCATATCTAATTTGTATAATTTCATACCAAATACACAGGTAAGTAAATAAGCTATTGATAGTTTTGAATGGTGGTTTAATAATTTTTGTTAACAGAAATGTTTTTAATAAATGGTTACCTAATCAGTAGCATCATTTAATTTAAAATTTTAAAAATTTACATTTATAAATCTGATACTTTCTCAATCACTTAGCTATTAAAAAGCAAGATAATAAGTTGTTAATGAATTTTAAAATGTTATGTTTTAACTTTTGAATATTTTAATTTAAAAATTTTATATTTAATAATTAAAACATCTCATATTTAATTTAGGATTTGCTATATAGAAGATTAAGGTGTTTAGCTAATTATGAAAATGCCAACAGAAATTTAGAAAAAGCACGCATTAAGAACAAAGATATTCATATGGTATTTTCAAAATTTTGATTTTATTGTTAAAAAAAAACTTAATTCTCATGCTATTAAGCATTAATTAATGTACTTTTCTTTATTTTACTACTAAATAACTGTAAAATTTCAGTAAATTTCTATTATTGTATATATTTATAATATAACTCCTGTGACTAATTTGAGAATTGTAATAATATGATTCTTATTTTATATAAGAATCATGTGACTAATTTGAGGTGAATTCTTACTTGGATACAAACTGATTAAAATAGAAATCAAATGATGATGATGATTTTAAGTTTTGTGATTTCATACCAAAACTTTTACTATTAAGATATATATAATTTTATGTGGTTTTTATAGTGAACAAAGTATAAAATTTGAAAATGTAACAATTTATTACCACCTGTGTTTTACTAATAGTGGAATATTGTAATTTGAATTTGGATCAAATTTAAATAGTTCAATATTTGAGCGTTTAGTGTAAGATTAAGATTATAATTAAGAATTGTCATTGACTTGTACTAATTCACTCTGAAATAGTTGATTTTTCTTTTTCATTATAAAGAAGTGTCTACTGGCCAGTTAACACAATTTCTCAAATTTTGTTTTGCCATTAGTTGCGAGGAAAAATTAATCAACTTACATACAATAAATATAAACATCTTCCATATAATATGTACTCTTTTTGTATATATAAATCTTGAAATTCTTAAGCATCATAAAATAATCTTCTTTTTAAAGCACTTAAGGATTTTTACAAAAATCATCTATGATTAGTGCTTATGGTATCTTGATCTGATCAATCAATATACTCAGTTACACAAGGAACTTAAAATTTGATTTCTGTTTAAACAATATAGCAGTCAATGGTCATTAATTCCATAGTTATGTAGGATAAAATAAGGAATTAGATAAGACATTGCTACTCTTCACATAATGTAAATTTTTCAACTTGTAACCTTACATTGCACAAAGAATTGAGACAAGAAATTTAAAACTTTACTATAGTTGACATAAAAATTATTAATGGTTACCATTAACTGCTTCTATAGTATGCAACATATTTGTCTGCTATAAATTTTCATGGGGAGAGAAGAAATAAAACTATGTATAATTAAGTATTCAATAGGCTTTAGGTCTAATATTAAAAATTAAATTAAAAATACCTGCTATACTATATTCTTTTGGATATGTTGGTCTTTAATGTATTGAAGTCTGTTGTTCATTAAAGAGCATTTTTAAGCACTTAGAGGATGACAACTATTTTTGAAGGACTTATCATTCTAATAATTTGTAAGAGAACTTCACAAACTACTTGCAATGAAGAAATTAATCTATTTAATTAGTAGTCAGTTCTTCATTTGTAATTATTTTATTTTCATAATGCTATATAATTTTTATTCGAAATTTTTCCAAATTGTAAAAAAATTAAGCAAATTTTAATTTTTAAAGTTGTCATAGTAAAATTATACTTAATGTTTGTTTAGTGTGTGTTTTTATATTTTTCATTTTGTTAGACACAAAGTGAAAAATTATGACTTCGTAAATATTTCTGCATTATGCCGTAAATCTGTTTTTTTAATATACTAATTTAATTTTATTTACGTTTTTATGAACTTTTAAACTAAAAATTTCTATGTAAACATTTTTGTTTTTGTTGCTAAATCATTTCTTGATGTACTGAAGATGAATCAATTTTAAACAAGTATTTCCTTTAAATAGGCAGAAAATGTTCAACAACAAGCCTGCCAGAAATTTGAAGCCATTTCTAAACAAGCCAAACAAGGTAAGAATGTTATAATGTGACAATAATAATCTTATGGTATTTATCAAGTGTATTTTGTCTTAATTCAAACAAATTTAATTATATATATTTCAGAATTACAAGACTTTAAAACCCGTCGAGTTGCTGCTTTTAGAAAAAATCTTGTAGAACTAGCAGAACTCGAATTGAAACATTCAAAGGTAAAAAAATTTATTCATATTTAGGCATTGAAATTATAAGTAAATCTAATATATTCTCAGTTTCTTCTGATATCAATTGACTTCTATATTTTATACACATTAAGTGAAAATATTTTACTACCGTATACTGTTGTATAAAAACTTTAGAAAGAAAATCAGTATATTATATATAGCTAAGATGTATAGATAAATAACAAAACAAACTTTAATCCAAACTTAAGCTTTACTTCCACAATCCAATAAAATATTTCACCTTACAACAACTCATCTTTTACAGATTGCTTAGCTGTTAGTCATTGTAGAAAACTAACAAACTAAAATGGTTCTTCTATATAATTAATCAAGAGATACATAAGTGAAGAAATTACTGGAAATTTTTGTTCGTATCCTTGTCTATTTGGACCTTCTTTAGTAATAAGACTTATTATATTGGTGTGACCTTTAAGATATTTTGTTTTGACTTTGACTAAGATCTCCTTTATTTGCTAATCAGAAATCACACCAGTATAATAAGTCTTGTTACTAAAGAAGGTCCAAGTAGATAAGGATACAAACAAAAATTGATAAAAGTAAGGACAGAGGTACAAATTATTAAATTACTGGAAATTTTAGGATTAATATATAGAAAATGGGAGAGAATTAAAAATTGGCAAGATCAGTTTATGTACTAATCTATCTATCAAATAATTTTCTTGTGTATTTTTCTTTAAAAAACTTTTGATAATATAGATATTCATAAAAAAAGTAAAGGTTTTTCAAAACTTACAGAAATACATAAAACCTTGCTTTGTGGCCACCTCTGAATTTCCCAGTAAAATTGCATAAGTTTTCATATAAATCAAACTCCATTTTGGTTTGCCTCATTTCACCAATTCACTTAAGTGGCCAAGACAGGAGTGACCAAAAGTGCCATTTATCCCTATTTTATATGGCCAACAGAACAAAAATCTCAAAATTCTTAAACCCAATGTATTGTTTAAAGCACTTTAAACAGAATTGAGCATTGTTGCTATAGTTTTGGAACATTTCACTTGTCAAAAGAATCCAAATTGTTCATTTACACTCAAATTAATCTTCAGTAAATTAATCTTCTTTAGTAAGAAGAAAGCCAATTATATAATTGTTTAATGAAATAGGTCCAATTTTTTAAAATTGCAGCTCAAAGTTAACACTATTGCCCATCTGCCCATCCCTCTGTGTTTCCTTAATCTCAAACAGTTAGATGAAATCAGAGACCAGATACAGAAACTTTAGGGACAGCAGGCCCTGATTAACTATATATGAACTTCTGATGCAAACCAGAAGTCACATTATTTCAATTCAAATCTTTCCCTGAAAGCAGTTAATGGCACAACTCTATTGATAAAGGAAAAGTATGATGTACAAGAGGCAATCCACTACTAATTTGAGGTGGAAAGCATAGATTTTAAATGAACTAAATTAAAAATATGATTAAAAATTGCATTGTGACAACGCATAAAACGAACAATTATTTATTGTGACAAAGTTGAACGGTATTTTGTAAAAATATAATTACATAAGTCGGCAATGAATGATTAACATTACTGATACATTACATTACTTGCAACACTCAAGGAAAAAAAATTTGGACAATTCTGATTTCTGAAAAAATGTCACTTTGACACTTCAGAATTGTTGTCAGAATAAAAAAATTGTTTATTAAACCAGTGTTTAATTAACAATTTTTTTTATTCTGACACATCTTTATATTTAGTGACTTCTGTTTAACAGGAAAATTTTTAGAAAAATATTAAAATACAGTATTTAATTCAAACCTTTACTACTATTTCATAAGTGCATTAATTTGGTTTATTGGTACTAAACATTCAAAGTACTGTACATAATGTACAGTATTTGAACAAATCCTACTGCTAACAGCTTGCATTCATTATATGTGTACCCTGTATTTCAATACTTTATTTTTTAGTGTTAATACTCTGTATGAAAGTTTGCACATATTTTCAATATTTGGTAATTCAGGGTTATCCTTACTGTTTTTTGTTTACTTCTATAATTTTTTTATTAAACTTTTAGCAGGATTCAATACAGTATGCTAATTACAGTTTTGTATGTCAATTTTTCATAATGCCACTTAAGTGCCACCTCGCTTGTGTGGCCAGAAATTGTGTAACCTGAGAGTGGCTGCCTAAGTGAGGTTTTACTGTATTAAAATTATAACTAAACTAAGCATTTTACTGATATAATTTTTGGTGTAAAAAGGATTTTATGCTAACATTCTAATTCAAAAATTTTTTTTTCCAGACACAAATTCAACTTCTGAAGAGTTGTTTAATGTCACTCCACGAAGAACATTAAATTTTGGTTTCTCTTATTGACATATTTTCTAAGGGACCAGTTTGTCATATGAACTCTTACTATCAATTTGCCTGTGGTATAAAATGACAAATAGCATAATTTTGATTATTATTTTTTTTCTTTATAATCTGTTGGTTGTTGAACATTTGTTTTATCTATAATAAGATATCGAGTGAGTCACCAGCCCGAATTGCTTTGTTGTTCCAAATATATTTAAGTTGCAAAGGTAATTTAGATAAGGAAACGTTGTTTATATAATTTCTTCCATTACCATCAGGGTGCATCATTTGGTTACAGAAGTGTTGAATTCTTTGCAAATACATATGCCTGATGTATGTCATGGAATCCATGTTTATAACAAAACAGATTTTTCACTTGAGTTGTTATTTTGATAAGAATGATGCTAAATTTTTTAATTTTCTGTAGCAAATTAAATAAACTACAAATTTATTACTAAAATGACTAAGTTTTTTTGTTAAATTTTTTTTACACAAAGCAGATTATTCTGCAAATCTGTTTAGATATTTAAAATTAACTAACTTAAAATCAGAATATATTTTCAAAATATGTAAACTATTCTAATTCAAAATATTTACAATCACAAACAATCTTTTTAACTACAGTGACTAGTTCAACATGTAATCTGCTAAATTATTCAATGCACCTTTTTTAACAAACTCCCACAGCTATAGTCCACTTCTCCTTGTTTATTTTGTTCCCCTCTGTAGGAGGAGCGCCGGATGGGATAAACAGAGCACTTATTCCTCCTGGTATCAAGTAAAAAAATTCCACAAATGTAAGTGATTGAAATATTTAACCTTATACCCTTGACCATGGGACACTTTGTCTATCTTTGTAGAATATAGTATTATGTCAATACAATTATGTACATATACAATATTCTTTAAGACAAATGTGATATGATATGTAAATTAGGTATGACAGTAAGAGCCTATGTATATAAGACTGCTCAAAGACTGACACTGTAATCACTGGAAACCCACATGGTGAGCAAAGAGTGTGTTGCAGAGAAGGGCAAATGGATGCTATATGCAAGAAAGGGCCCAACAAAGATTAGACAGGCAAGCTAAATTCCATTCAGAAACGTCTGAATGAAGATTGTTCATAAGGTGGTGTAAATGTTTAATTATACAACCTTAGTATCTCAATCAATCATTTATTGTGCACTGAAGGATTTCTATTATTCTTGAAATGTATAGATCGTATTCTTGTGTCGTGTAATGCAGTAGTAACAATACAAAAGTAGTGAAAGTATTTTCATATATTTAAACAATTGGAGTAAATGGTCTCTTCCTGGAAGAAATGGATGTCAGACTAGTCTACCATGTGACAGAAATATAGCAGTGCTCCTTGAGGAACAACTTTAAAACTGACCCCAAAACAGAGCTAAAAAAATCATTTTAGTGTTGGTCTGCTATATTTTACTGTAAAAACTTCTCTACAATGCTTGCTTGTTTCTGGAGTTCCTAAATGTTCAAAACTTGAAAAGGAAAATATGCAATCTGTGATACTACTGTGGGTAACATCAGTTTTCACAATAGCAGAATGTCGTGGTACAATTCTGGGAACGATGTCTATTTTTTGCTCTTACCGCCCCGCCCCTAATTAAACTGTTGAACTGTTTGTGAAATTGAAAATTTTTTTCCTCAATAAATATAAGGCATTTGTTTTTAAAATGAAAGAGATTTATTTAAAGTGTTTTCCATCAGAATCTACAATATTTGCCCATCTGTCAGGTAACAAATGGATTCCTTGAAGGAAGTCTGGTTGTTTTGAAACAATCCAGCTATCAACCCAATTTTGGATATCCTCATAGCATCTGAACTGCTTTCCAGAAAGGTCACTCTGCATGGATCGAAACAAATGGTAATATGAAGGAGCAACATCTGGTGAATATGGCAGGTGGGGCAATACATCCCAGTGAAGTGTTTCTAGAGTTTCCTTGACTGGTCTTGCAACATGTGGACAAATGTCATTGTTGGAAAATAACCTTGTTGTGTCTTTTGGCATATTCTGGCTGTTTTTGCTTTAATGCTTCATTCAATTTGATTAACTTATTTGTAACGTTTACCATTGATTATTTGACTCAGTTGCAACTGCTCATAGTATGCTACACCTTTTTGGTCCCACCATATACACAACATAACTTTACTTCCCTGAATATTCTGTTTTGGCATTGATGGACGTGGTTCATCTGGACGCACCCATGGCTTTTGGTCATTTAGGATTGTCGAAGTGAGTCCATTTTTCATTTCCAGTAACAATTCAGTACAGAAAAACCTTTTCTTTTTTATCTTTGGAGCAATAATTCACGTATGGTTTTTCAACATTCAATGTCTCTCTCAATTCATATGGGATCTAATTTCCTTGCTTTTGAACCATTCCCATTGCATGTAGACGTTGTGAAATGCATGGTTGGGTAACATTTAAAGCAGCAACCAATTCCAATTGTTTGTCAAGGATCTCCTTAAAATTTTTTTGGTGGTTTTGCAAGCTCTTCGTGTGTATCAAAATCATTATTTTTAAACTGTCGAAACCATTCTTTGCAACTTGTATTTGATGGAGCATGTTCACCATAAATTTCCAACAGTGAACGGTGTGTTTCTGCTGTGGTTTTCTTTGCAATAAAATAATGAAGTATAACTTTTTCCGCAAATGCTGTTTTCCTGGCACAAAAACTAGACATTTTTCATTAGGTAAAAATAATTGTTTACACTTTAAACAGATGTCTCATACTTATTTAAACCTTTCAAATAAGTGTTGCCAGATTCATTTGCATGCAAGCACTACTACAAATGCCATCTACTAAAGGGTGGAGTCATATTTATAGACCTATTAACTTGTACAATACTTTGAAAAAATTGTCCAGTAATTTAAAATTTCTTAACAGTAGAAAAGTTAATGTTTGATATACAGAAGTTTTTGTGATAAACATTATATTACTGTAGTTGACAAGTTACTAAAGACTTTACACTGCTGTATACTGTACTCTTATGAAGTTTTTTGAGCTCATTTTCTGTAATAATGGGGTCATATTGTTGAATTTTTTAAAACTCAATAAAACTGCAAAGAACTGATTGTAATAAATTACTGTACTGTATCCATCGTCTCATTTTCCACATCATCTGAGAAAACACCTCGCTAAGTTGGACTTTCATGAGCTCAAACAACCTTCAGTTGCTATTAGTCTAAGTTCATGGGGTTTACTGTGTCAAAATTCAATGGTTCCATTCTGAGAATATATTCAGGTCAACCATATTTTATTGCATAATTACATTTCAAAAGTATATTTTGTTACATATTATTTTCATAAAAAATCACTGTATAATAAAGTCGGACAAGAACTTTGCCAGCTTTCCCGGCATTCAAACAGCAACTTAAGGGGACCATTAAGTCTGATTAATTTTCAATTATAGTACAATAAAAATTCACTCCTTTTTAAGCTTTTATGTAAAGATATGAAAATTTTTATAATATAAATGTTTTAAAATAGGCNAAATTTGTACGTAAAACTTTTATGTTTCATCGAATTCTTAAAGTTTATTTATATACAAAAATTTTTTTTTAATTATAGGTTAGGTATTGGATGTAATTTTACTATATAATTATTAATAATCAATATTCTAATAAATTGATTTAATGTAAACATTCTTACTTGCATGGTATTGTAGGATGATGATATTCACAATTATCTCCTCGTTTACATGCAGGCCAGTAACGACATCTTTCCTGAATTTTCTCATCCATGCTTTCATCCATCATCTCTTCTTCAATAATTTCTTCTGCTAATACAGTAAAATATAGAAAGTTGAAATTATAAAAGAAAAAGAACAAATTTTTAAATATATTTTATTTACCTTCATCTGTTTGACAGATCTCTTTTGTACTTAGTTCTTCTAATTCATCTAATTCAAATTTACTAACATCAGGTGACAAAGGCACCTTATTTGTTACAACATTCCGTCTTTGTTTTTTCCTTAGAAATTTGCTTGGATCTACGCCATCCAGCGTGACAACAAAATGTGGAGCATTTTCAGTATTTTCAAGTATTCTAAAAAAAAATTTAAAACAAGAATTATATAAATATATCAATTGATATAATTATAAAATTATTTTATATGAATTTACTCAATGTCTTCTAGTTTTCTTTTCCTGTCACTTCTTGCTTTTGATTTTACATCAACTGATGCAATTTTAGTTTTTTTCGTAAACAGCTCCGATTCATTTTCTTTTTCTATATCTACATCATCATCCTCGTCATCGTCGTCATTTTCTAATTTCTGATTTTTAAGCTGATGTTTATCTGTACAGGATACTACAGTACGTGTGTCTTGGTCTTGTGGATCATTAGCATCTAAATCAAAATCTGATACTATATTGTATCAGAAATAGATGTTAGTTATTTTATCAATATTTGAGCTATCAATATTAATATAGTTCAATGTATTTTATCAGTATTAAAGTTGTTATAAATCAGATACAAAGAAGAATCAATGAAAACATTAAATTTTGTTTTTCATAATGTATTGAAGCAATACATACATACATAAATAAATACATACATACACATATATATCTTTAAATAAAATATAAAATAATTCAAAAGGGTTAAGTTTCATTTCAAAAGACACAACTAGAATTAAAATAAATTATTAAAAACTTCTATCTAACATATCAAATATCTAATATATAAATATATATATTTACAATTCTCTTCTTCTGCTAATTGTTCTACATTAGTCAGAGATATTGGCACAAGTTGTTTATGATTTCTTGCAAACAACTGACGTATTGGAGTTGGTTTATAAGGTTCAACTCTAGCTATAGAAGTATTTAAACGTTATTAAGTATATATATTTTATAGAAAATATTAATTGTAAAAAATATGATTAAATTTATCATCATCATAATCATCTTTACATTTAAAATAGAAATTAAACAAAAAATTGTATTTTAGAGCTACCAGAATTAAGATTCAAAAGTTTTCAAGACAACCTGTTCATTTTGAAAATGTAATACATTAGCAACAAGATAAAATAAAACAATTTTAAATTTAAAATAAAAATTTTATATATGGAATTTCAAACTAAGTTATCATTAAAGTATGATAAAAGCAAACCCAAGGATCAAAATGTTACATTTATTTTCTATAAAACTTTTACATTAGAATATTTATTTTCTATCAATTTATAAATTAATTTTATTTTATAAGATTTTTAATAGCATTTTTGTTATGCTGTATTAAGTAATATATTAATAATACTTTTTCTGTATATAGTATCTGTAGCAGTTTTTAACTTGTAGTCATAAAACTAATCTTTTTTAAAGTAGATAAATATAAAAAAAAAGCAAGCAAATTTGTTAATAAAATAATCAAATAATTTGAGTAAAGAGATATACTTTCTAAAAAATCAATTATTTGTTAATTCCTTATACAGGAACAAATTGATTTCTCTACAGTAATTCATTTTTTAAGAACTATTATTTGCAGATTAATATATTATTGTTGTTTTACAGCATACGTTATGCAATAATTATAATTCAAGCCAGCTATACAATTTTTACTTATATATAGATTAAAATTTAATGTTAATTAACATTTTATAATCTAATACAGTTAAATAAAAAAATTAAATCTTTTTGCTTCAAATTTAAATATGATAACCTAATAATTTTAAAATAAAATTTTTAACTAGCATTCAATAATACCAGATATTTATCATATAAATAAAAATGGGCCATGTTTAAATTGTAAGTTTAGAAAAATAAAAAATGTATACAGTATTTTGTACTGTATACTTTATATTGTTACTATACTTTATAGTTCTTGGTATTCAAATTGGCTTTTTTGCTGTTATATGAGCTCATAAGAATTGCATCCAAAAAGTATCTAACTAGAACAAGTTCTCAGACAAAAGTCTTTTTAGAATCTAACTGTTCTCAATTCTTGCAATCAAATACTCTCATCTTTAGTTGGAATCACTTTGGAGTAATTTGAATTAAACCTAGTGATAAAATTCTTTTTGTATATGTAAGAGTGATAGTGAATTCACTATAAAAATGGATGTAACTGTGTAAAATTTATCTGGTATAAGTTAAAAAAAAAAGACTAAAACTTGATCAAAATGGAAACCTGTCCAAACATTTTAAAAATTTGGTACAGTGCAATTCCAGTTTACATGGGTTTTATTGCTCAAAAATTAATTTTTTACTAACAATTATATGAAAAACAAAATTTATATTTTTAGAAGTGCTTATGCTCTCAATCTCAAATTAATAGTCTTGCTCCTGTATCATACTTTTCCTGATGATACATAGATGACCAGCATGACTCTGTTAACTGATCTGGGGAGAATTTGAATTAAAATAATGTGACTTCCAGTCTATACTAGAAGTTCATGTATAGTTAATTGGGGCCATAGTTAACCCATAAGCTTTCCACATCTGGTCTCGACTTTCATCTATTGAACTCCGTTCTTGAGATTAAGGAAGGACAGAGAGATGGACGACAGTGGGAATTTAGAGGTTAGTTTTTTCAATTGCAGCCGAATCAGATTTTTATGCAGCATGTTTTCAGAAGCTGAATGTTGATAAGATTTTGTTGAAAAATGAATGCTCCAAGTTTTTGTTTTCTTTTTTTGGATTTAACAATGTTTATAACATAATTATTAGCTTTATTATACAGTAGAGCATCGATTATCCGACTCAATTGGGAACTGGGGTTGGTCAGATAACTGAAAAAACAGATAATGTAGTTTTTTATATTTTTTGGTTATTAGTATAGTATATTAGTATATCGCTATTAACCTGCTTTGCGTTGAATTTTCATAGATGTTAAGCCTAACAAAAATGTTTTTAAAATAATAATCGTCACTATTGTATTGTTAAAAATTAAGCCTCATTTAAATACTGGCTCCCTTTCATGGTCAAGCCAGTATTGCCAGCTAAAACACGTGATAATAATATTAAAGTAGCCAAGACATAGTCAAATATTGTAGCTCCACATCACTAGCAGACATTTAAATTTGCCGACTAGAACGTGGTCGGTTAACCGATGCTCTACTGTAGTTAAAAATTATGGAAAAAAATCTAAAAAATAAGAGATACTCAATTTTACTACTAATAAATAATGCATAATCGATACATTTCTTGTAAACATGCAAATTGTAAGAAGGCTGAAAAAATTTTTATATATAAAAGCAGATATTACAAATAAAAGCAGTTTTAACTAAAATATACAAAATGTTTGTTACTACAAAAGTCATCAAGGAAAAAAACATTTATTAACAATGAATACAAAAAAATTTTTTTGTTTTTACAAAAATGATGATTGCAATTGTTTTTGTAATTAATACTCAAAACACAATTTCTGTCCACTAATAAAACATATAGCAATTTGTCAGATATTTTATTACAAAGATTTTTCTATATACATTCTACCAATTTAAAATTTATTGGTATTAAAACTAATTCTTACACGAAAATATTTTAGATATTCTGTACAAATTTTTTTTTCTTTTTCAATGAGAACTAGAAATAAATTAACAGAATTGTTATCAAATGAATAGAATGCAAAAGTTATAAATTGAGATATGTCAACCTACTTTGATGATTGAATAGTTTTTGGTGCAGTCCACTTCAATTGTGATGGAGAAGGAATGATGGAATGATTAAAAGTGCAGTTGGGAGTTTGGCAATTTGTTCCGTAACGACAAGGCTAAATAAAGAGAATTTTCAATCATAATTTTGCACGATTGCAAGGTTCAATTTTAGATTGTCAAAAATTACCTTTGGATGTATGTAAGGACATTTAGAATTACAACAGTTAGGGAAAAATTTGCAGGTCTTTTTTGCTGTTGGAACTTTATTCTTAATGACGACATCTATAATAAAAAATAAATTAATTTTCTTGTGAGAAACATCCTGACATTGATTTAAACATAAAAGATAGGAAATGAATACTTACAATAAGGAGGTATGGTCGAGGCCGAAAAAGCACGTTTACTTGCGTGTGTGAAAGGGCAATCTCTTCTGGTACATAAAGCATCAAATTTACAATTGGGATGAATATAAAGACATTTGTCAGCAAATTTGCAGTTTGGAAAAGTTCTAACATGTAAAAAAAAAAATGATAGTTTGATCAATATTAATTTTGATAACAGTTTTACCAAAAGCTATGATATAATCTTTAGTTAATAAAAACTGTTTTACAATATTAAATTAACTCCAAGCCATAACATCAAATTTTTATGAAAGGATCTGATAAATTTAGTTCAAACCAATTTGTCACAAACCAGCTATTTCTGTTGAGAATATGACCAAACACTGTCAACATTAAGATGATCATTTTATTTATTTTTTTATATCCATTGTGACAATGGATATAAAAAAAATAAATAAAATGATTAAACTCTCTTAACCTGTCAGCATTAAAGATAAAGTAGCAGCATAACTACATAAAGAACATATTAGTACATCCAGCACAAACTTTTATAAAAATTAAAATCAACTTGATTCTAACTTAAGAAAAAAATTACAAAAATATAGTTTTAATCTGTAATTTGTTTTTTGTAGAAAAATATTCAATAAACAAAAATAAATCATGTTATGTCTATTCATCTTTCTTGAAATGTAAAATGTTGCTTTGTTACTAAAAACCAAATTTGAAAGAAACTGTGTAAATCTACTTGAGCTAATGGAAGACAACAAAGATGTTTGCAAAACTGACTCCTTGCAAAACTGAACACACAATTTTGCAAGGAGTCTTTAAAAATGAGCTGCTGAGCAGAACTGAACAGACACACTCCACCACTTCTCCTATGGATCCAGTTGATTTTCACTTACAAATGTAGTCCATAACTTGAAACTGAATACCACTTCCAAAATGACTTAAAATTTGGGACAAACCCACAAAACAATATCTGAATATGGTGTTGACTCAACATACTTGTTTACATGAAAATCAAGAACATAGAATGTCTTCTGCTGAAAGAATTCTAGTTCTTGATTTTCCTTATCTCATCACCATTTTACTCGCTGAGCTGAGCTGCCTCATGATGAATAAGGACATCTGATACTGCCAATGCCAAGTACTTTTTGTACTTGATACTTTTGGTCTGATACTGATACCAAAAGTGTCTTTACTTTGGGTATTGGATCTGGTATCGTTACATTTTTCACAAACAGGTAGGGTTCGATGAAACCAGATTTTGCAGCTGAATCAGAAACCAAAATGGAATTTTACACTATTTTTGGTTAAGTTAAACTTATATAAAAATACATAGATGGTAGAAAGACATTTCAGTCTTTCTAAAATGTGTAAATCCATTAGCCAATTTTTTACACTGGCATGCAAAACTTAGCAACAATGTAATTTTTAAGCAGACAGCCATGAAACTGCAGAAAAGGGCTTTTTGCAATATCCAATTCAGTAGAAAGGTGTTATTAAAAACATTTGCTGCAAGTTCAGGTGAGTTCGTATGTGCAACATGGCTAGAAGAAACCCTCTGGATGACTTTACACATTGTAGTGATTGGCAAGCTTGAGGGGGTTGTAGTGTGATAAGTGTGTCCCAAGAGTTTCAAAATTAACAAAAGTGTCATTTCACAAGCTTGCAAAGCTTTCCAAACCACAGGTACAGCTGTAAGAAAAGTTAGTGGTGGTCGTCGAGAAAAACAATGCCAATGGATGATTGATATATTGTCCTGCAGGCAAAAAAGAGATCAATACCAGTCAGCAAGTAACATTGCTCAGCAGCTGTGTACAGCAACAGGACAAAAAGTATTGGTTTAATGTGGCCAGATGCCTTCATAAAGGTGGCCTATTTGCCTGATGTCCTGAACACTGCATCTCATTGACAGCTGCCCATCAGCAGCACCGTTTATACTGGTATAAGAACACAAACTGGACATCTCATCAATGGAGTAACGTCTTCTTTACAGATGAGAGTCGTTTCTCAACACTAGTTGATATGAAGAGGATTAGGGACACAGTTTTATCATGAAAAAAGACTGTTACAGTGGTCCTGGGGTGCTTGTTTGGTGAGGCATTATGATGAATGGACAGACTGATCTCCAAATTTTTGACATAAGTACTGTTACCAGAGATCACTATTTTCAGCAAGTGATCCTTTCTCACATGCATCTGTTCTGAGGTGCCATTGGTGCAGACTTTGTTTTTATGGATGATAACTCCAGGCTACATTGGACTCGTGCTGTTGAGAAGCTTCTAGAAAGAGAAGAAATCACTAGAATGGATTGGCCAACATACTCCCGATTTAAATCCCATAGAACATGTGTTGGATGCTTTGGGGAGACACCTTTCAGCATGATTATATTTGCTGAAGAACACCCAACAACTGAAACAGATGCTCATTGAGGAATGGGCACTCTTATCTCAACAACTGTTTGATAATCTGATGTTGAGTATGGAGAGACGAGTGCCAAGCAACCATTGCAGTTAAGGGGGGTCGTATCCCGTACTATGAGATATCTGTTTGTTCTCCTCCTTCTTGGGCAAGCAATCATTTATACCAATGCTACTCTTTCAATAAAGCCTTTTTTTTGTTTGATTCCATACTGTGTGTGTTCTATTCATTTTTGTGCTAGTATGCTTTCTTCATCCTTTAAGTACAAAATACTGTCTCTGTATTCTGAATTTCATGTCTCCCAGGTGATTTCTTGCACAGTTATGACAAAAAAAAAAAACAATTGTTTTATACACTGGTGTGCAAAATTTAAGCATTTTAATGACCAAAACTCAATACATATATTACATCAAATTTCATTTCCAGAATCTATATATGGTTAGAGTTCTGTTTACTATTTATAAACAAATATTTAGTTAAAAATTATGCAGTACTTTTGTTTGCTAATCAACTTGGTCCACTATTGTTGTTTAAAATGAGCTACAATTTGTATGTACTTGTTTGCACTGACATTTATAAAATTTGAACACAATAAATAACTTCCAATGTGAAGACACTGTTTTACCTCTTCACCAATAATTTCTTATCCACCCTATTCTGTGTATAGTAGTAACCACAGCCCATTAGCAGGACTGTAGACCTGGGACTTCTTGTGTGTACATGAAACATCTTACAAGTGTAAATTAAAGTACTGACTGACACACTGACTTCTGACTAGATAGCTGGGATTCAATTCCTTGGAGTAAGCAAAAAAATATTAATTGCTATCTGGAGCTTACTTGGCCTTCATTGTAATGAGTACAGTACACTTTTATGCAGTCCATTTTTATGTGATTTTGAAATAATGCAGTGGACAAAAGAAAACTACTCTTCTTTTTATGCAATTGATTCTTTTTTACATAGGGAAAAACAGTTCATTTGAAAATTTTTTTAACAAAAAGCTAAATTTAAAAGTTACTTTTTTTGGGTCAAAATCAAGAGTCAATTTTCTTTTTTAAGCAGAGTATAGAAAATACTGTGTGTCACTTTTATGTTTCCTATACCACTTTGTGTCTACTATATTTATGCACAAATAATGTTAGAATAAAATAGCTCATGTTTATTTTGTAAATTGCTTATTTTTTTCATTCCATTGAAGTTGTATATCCCATCAAGCATTTTTCTATAGGATGCATGTACAGTACTGTACATTTTTATATGAATTTTTTTACATGGCATTCTTTGGAACGTATCCACCATGCAAAAAGAGGGATAGATGTACTGTACCTTCTCAGCAGTAAAAACAACTGGAAGGCAATGCAACAGCTGGCAAGATTTCCAGTTTCAATACCCAATGCCAATACTGGCCAGTGTCAATACTTTAAGACAGATACCAATACCGATACCAGATTTTATGGTGATTTTGTAAGCTCATCTTTAATAAAAGAGCTTTGCAGACCAATTTTTATGCTAATTTTCAATCTTGCATTGATTATGGATTGCCCATATGGTCAATAGCTGCACTTTCTCTTTTACACAAAATTACTTTTGCTATTAATAAGATATACCTAACATTTAACAAAATGTGTAAACTGCCTTTCACTATTGACTCTAATAGCACTAGAATTTACCTGGGCTTCCCATCTTTCTTTGGGAGAATTAAATATTTTGACTGGCTAATATATTGCAAATATTTCAGTGGTCTTATTTATCAAGATTGGCTTTCACTCCAAATTCTATCAAGAAAACTTTGCTCATTTACTTACATTTTCTCCTTTTTTACATCTAAATATATCACAACAATTTTTCTTTTACTGTATATTGCAAAACCTTAATAATTTTGATGAATTTTTTATATCTTGACCTTCCTGATTTTAAAAATGAAATGTAAAAAGCACTATATCTCTTTTAAGATTTGTTATTTGTTTTTTTTTATGTTTTAAGGGTTGTTATTTGTTTTTATGATATATGTTTTTGTAGGGGTTAGAAATCAAATGCCTAACCTGACTTTTCCTGTAAATTTAATGAAATAAATAAATAAATGATTTATTGATACTTTAAAACTACTCATTATACTGGTATCAATACTTTTGTTGTATTGGGACATCCCTAATAATGAATGCTACTGGAACCAGTAATAAGAAATTTGAATTTTAAGAGACTGCTAGAGTTATGCTAAACCAATATTCTGATATGAACATCAAGCTTGATAGCAAGATTCTTTTGATATCAATATGGAATACAAAAGTATTGAATATTAATATCCTAGATAAATACTGAATGTTGATATCAACATTTATATCAAATCAAAATCAAATTATCAGCATATCATTAGAGACTGTGTTCAATATAAACAAACATTTTTAAAAATTTGTACGTAAAAGTTTTATGTTNAATTCTGAAATCACAGTTATATAGCATTTAAATGTGTTACTTGGTCTTAAAATTCTGAAATCACAGTTAAATGTCAGTTACACACAAATGAAATCAGTTAAATGTATTACTTGGTCTTCTGAAATCACAGTTATATAGCATTTAAATGTGTTACTTGGTGGAAGTCACTTGACAGTAAATCAGGACTAAACACTGGGTGTTTAAAGGTGGTGAAGACTTCCAACTTTCAAACTTCCACCCAGCTTAAAATGTTTTAATGTGTGAAGACTTCCATCTCTTTCCTGAACTGAAAATGTGGTAGCAGGGCAGA